GTTGTAGATGCTTAATTGCGAGTGTGGTTACTACGTTCTGTCAGGTCCATTTCAAAGCAGAGCAACCCGTGTGACCACATAGAACTGCCCAGTAGGTTCTCTAGGCCATAATCCTCCGAGAAGCAGGTTGCCAGGGCTTTCTCCTGCAAAGTGGGTGGCTGGATGCAAATGGCCAGCCTTTCAGTTAACAGCCAAGCACTAATCAAGTCTTACACAATCAAGTCTCTAAATAGGAGTAGAAAACCATAAAGGATATTAAGTCCCCTTCAAACTAAGCTTTTTAAACATCCCTTGGGTGTGGGTGTGGGTGTGCGCACGCACGCGTATGTCCACAATTGACGGGTTCCTGGTCTGAAACAAGTGTACCCTTTCATTCTGTTCCTGTGTATGTGGCCGCCCTGGCTGAGGACAGCTGTGATGGCAAGTGGTGCTGGGACGAACTGTGTGACAAAGCTGCATGCTCGCTGCTTTGCCTTCCTCGTGGTGCCTGGAGAGAACGTGTGCCTGGAGTATAAAAGGTGTCTTCCTCTCTTTGCAGAAGTCATACGGACGCGGCTCCGCGAGGAAGGCACCAAGTACAAGTCTTTCATGCAGACCGCGCGCCTGGTGTTCCGGGAGGAAGGTTACCTGGCCTTCTACAGAGGACTCTTTGCCCAGCTCATCAGGCAGATACCAAACACTGCCATCGTGCTGTCTACCTACGAGTTAATTGTGTACCTGTTAGAAGACCGTGCTCAGTAACAGGCCAGAACACTGTGCTCTCCGAGAATAAAATAGAAACCGTAGAGAACTTTTTTTCCTCGTTGATCTATAGAATGTTCAAGACAGAAACAGGAAAAGAAAGAACCGTGGAAGAACTGGCTGCTATCACGCAGTGGACATTTCCTTTTGGATTCATGCTTTCTGGAAGGTTCTAATTCATTAACGTTAAGAGTTAATTATAACTTTTTTTTTAATTTAAGAGGATTCAGGATTAAGCAGCAACTAAATTAAATCATGCTATTTAATTTAAGTATTAATTTGGTTTGTGTCCTCTTTTTATGATCCCGGTACTGTAAAAGCTAAGGACTTCAGCATTTCGGGCAACGCACAGAGGTACGAAGAAAAACCGTAAAGTCTGACCTGTGCTCTAATCTGACCTTGTACCATTGGCGGCACTGTGGGGACCGGGATAGCCTCCTAAGCTGTGTCTCTCTCTTTTACATTTCAGAGTTTCAGGTCATTTATAAACTAAGCTTTAAGGTCCCTAGGATGAGAAAATCAGTACAAGTTTCTGCTGCTAAATAATTTAACCTATAAACATTTTCCTGAAGTTGTCCTCCTCTTCCACCCCGCCGCCCCCCCCAACCAAAGGAAGAGATTTAAAAAATGGTTTAACTGCCTAGCTCATGGATTCCTGTCCAGAAGTTAAGCCGGAGTAAGCCCGCCTGTATCCCACTTCGAGGAGTGTGCCAGAACAGCCTCAAAGTGGACGGAGAGTGGGCTGAGGAGGAGAGGCCAGCCCTGGCCCCTTCACGGAGTCTGACAGGAGACGTTGGTGATGGTAGAATACTCTCTCGAAGTAGAAAACTTTAAATCCCAGAAATGAGAATCACCAGCATTGTGCACCCCTTTTTTTAAAAGATGGGGCGGAAAAAGAGAAGTAAGACAAAAGGCGGGGGGGTCAGTAATCTTCCCCTGCTGCTTGTCACTGGGATGTGAATGCTGTGGCATTAAGGTGGTTTTCCCTCTGCGTAGAAAGATACTTGATTCTAACTCACAGGGCAGGGTAGTTCAGCTACAGCTGCGGATGCTCTGATAAGGGATGAGGGAAGATTTTCAAGTTGCTCACCATCGTGGCCGTGGAAGGAACGCTGATGTTCCTGCGCCTTCCAGCTTCTCCACCCATCCGGAACTCAAAAACAAATGCCTCCAAACTTCAAAAATGCAAGGGGGTTGGGATTTTGATTCTACAAGCTCACATTTAGCTCTTGAATAGTGGCACGTAGCAGCACCTACCTATTTTATTATTTGTTATAAGGCTATATGAACGAGTGTTTTATCATGTTAGTAGATTTCAGTGTAATGAGTGTGATGGGTAGCTATAATGGCCACCTGTATGTAGTTGTGGGCTGCAGTGGATTTGGCCTTGACCCTTGGAGAGAGACCCCGTGCACAATGGGTCCAAATGCTGCCGAGCTGGCACCATCCTAAGACAGGTTCCCGAGAGAGCCCTCAGGACCCATGGCTGGCTTGTGTACATTGGCGGACGCTCATCCTCCTCTGGTATTCAGGTGAAAACCTGAGCGTTCCCTCAGTTTTTGTTCCTTCTGAAGGCTCAAAATAAGGTGTAACAAAAATGGTTAAGTGAAAAAGACGGCAGTTTGAGCCCACCCGTCAGTACCTCCAAAGACAGGCCAGGTCATCTGCTTCCTAAAGGGCGAAGCTTTGAAAATCCTGTACCCACTGCTATCGAGTTGGTTCTGACTCGGGGCTCTGTATAAGGTTAGGTGACTCCGGCTGTAAATCTTTACAGGAGCAGAGAGCCTCACTTTTCTCCCAGAAGCAGCTGGTGGTTTCAGCCACCCACCTCATGAGCAGCAGTCTAACTCTTAACTACACTTACCCTGCAGTGCCAGCAGGCCTCTTGAAAAAACCCTCTGTTCTACACACATGCCACCGAGGGTTGGAATGGACTCTAGGCAGCTAACAACCACAGCTGTTGTTATTAGATAGATTATTTAGAATCCTATTATACATTCTTGAATTAATGTTTTGGTGTTGACCTGGTATAATTTAGACCTCTGCTTGCTTCTGTCTGCACAAGGGCATTAAAATCAAATTTCTGCCACAAATGTAGGAAAAGAACAACCAGAAAGAAATGTTCCCTGTTAAAGGAGCTTTTAATATTTCTATTAAACATGAGCGAGATGGTGAAATCTCATCGTTCCTGCCTTCCTTCACCAGCTTAGTTAGTGGAATGTCATTGTTCTTTTAAGTCATATGAATACCCAGAATGTGCCAAACATAAGGTGTTAGTGTTTTTTTCTCCTTCAAATCGGGATGATTTTTCACCTTCAAACTGACAAAATTGTGGCGCTGTTACCACACATTTTACAAACGAGAGGATGGGGGACTTAGCTGATTCACTCATGCAGTGGTAAGTAGTGAGCTGACCCTCAGAAGACTTGTTGGATGCAGCTCTCTGCACAACAAAACAAAACGCTGCCTGGACCCTCCCCGTCCTCACAGTGAACGGTTTGAGCCCACTGTTGGAGTCACTGTATCCGTCCATCTTGTCGAGCATCCTCGTTTTCCTGATCCTCTCACTTTATCTGTATTCCTCATAATATGTCCGAAATGAGACAAAATCTCACCCTCCTCATTTCTTTCTTTTTAAAAAATCATTTTGAGGGCTCATACAGCTCTTATCACAATACGTACTTACATCCATTGTGTCAAGTACATTTGTACATTTGTTGCCATCATCATTTTAAAAACATTTTCTTTCTACTTGAGCCCTTGGTATCAGCTTCTCATTTTCCCCTCCCTCTCCCACCCTCCCTCATGATCCCTTGATAATTTATAAATTCTTATTTTTTCATGTCTTACACTGACCGATGTCTCCCTTCACCCACTTTTTTGTTGTCTGCCCCCCAGGGAGGGGGTTATATGTAGAACATTTTGATCGGTTTCCCCTTTCTCCCCCATCTTCCCATTCTGGTATCGCTTCTCTCATTATTGGTCCTGAGGGGTTTATCTGTCCCGGATTCCCTGTTTCCAGCTCTTATCTGTACCCGTGTACATGCTCTTGTCTAGCTGTATTTGTAAGGTAGAATTGGGATCATGATAGTGGGGAGGAGGAAGCATTAAAGAACTAGAGGAAAGTTGTGTTTCATCGTTGCTACACTGACTGGCTCGTCTCCTCCCCACAACCCTTTTGTAAGTTGCCTATAGATGGGCTTTGGGTCTCCACTCTGTACTCCCCCCTCATTCACAATGATATATTTTGTTCTGGGTCTTTGATGCCTGATAACACCCTCCTCATTTCTAAAGAGTACTCTTGTACTTCCTCCAAGACAGTTTTGTTCTTTGACTTTCAAAGACCTTTAGGAACACCATAATTCAAATTCTCTTCCAGTCTTCTTTATTCATTGTCCAAGTTTTCCATGGCAAAGCCCTCAGAAATGGACAGCCTTTTGCTTTTCCCTGTAGTTGCTAGGAGCCGTCCAGTCTGTTCCCGCTCAGTAGATGGAAACAATGCCTGACCCCGCACCCCTTCAGTATGGTGCTGTGCTTGAGCTTCTTGTTGCAGCCAGTCCATGACTCCGGCTTGTCGGGGGTCTTCTGCTTTACCACGCTCATGTCCTTCTCCAGAGACTGGCCTCTCCGGACAACATCTCTAGTCTCTCCATTCTTCTAGGGAGCGTTCTGCCTCACGCTTCCGTCCAAGACAGACTTGTCTTCTGGCAGTCGACAGTACGTCCAGTATTCTTCCCCTAGCCCCTAATTGAAATGCATCCATTCTTCAGTCTTCCGTATTCATTATCCAACTTCCTCATGCATGAGATGATTGAAAATACTGCAGCGTGGTTCTGGCACACCTTAATCCTGAAGGCGACACCTTGGATCGTTAGCACGCAAAAAACAGTACTTTCCCAAAGTAGTACATTGATTTCTTGACTGCTGCGTCTTTGAACATGGATTATAGATCCAAGGAAGCCAAAGTCGCTTGACACTTCAATCTTTTCTTCACGATGTTACCTGTTGGTCCAGTTGTGAGGACTTTTGTTTTCTTGGCAGTTAGGTGCAAGCTATACTGAAGGCTGCAGGCCTTGATCCTCATCAACAAGTGCTTCAAGTCCTCGATTTCAGCAAGCCAAGTCCTGTCATCTGCACATCACGGTTTCTCAGCTGACCTGCTCAGCATACAAATTGGGTAAGTACGGTGAAAGGATACCACCCTGACCACACCTCTCCTGTCCAAATTCAGGCCGCACTCCGACTTGTCTAGGGAAGAGTGCTTCCTCGTGGCTTCCATCTTGTAGTTCCATGCATTCCTTGGCGTACACAGCGTAACTCCAGCCTACATTTTCACCATCACCTGTCCATCTTCCTTCTGACTTCTTCCTTTCTCTTAGAAAGACACTGGTCATATTGAGTTAGGCCCCCTCGTGTTAACTCATCACAACCACAAAGACCCTAATTCCAAACAGGATCACATCTCCAAGTCCTCAGGGTTAGATCTTGAACTTTTGTTTTTTCCCTATTGGGAATTACAGAACAGATCATCAGTTGTTATGTTCAATGAGTCATACACATTTTGTTGCACACATTGCAATTCACCCTATTTTTCTTATTTCCATTCTGACTTCCTTACTAACCCTCTGAATTTTGTTAGACAAATGCTGCCCTCTGAATTTCAATGGGTGATTCTCCTACCAAATTGGTGAGTTGAGTTCACCGTCCCTGATTTTAAATCAGGTAGCATTCTCTCGTTCTGTTTCATACCCAGATTCCTCATGAGCACACAAAGAAATGTTCTGGAATTCTCATTCCTTGTCATGGTTATCCATAGTTTGTTATGACCTACACAGTTAATGCCCTAGCTTAATCAGTAAAACACAAACATCTTTGTTACCATCTCTCCTTTCAGTCAAGCTCCATTTGACATCAGCAATGACATCTCTCATTCCACGTCCTCTTCTGACCTGGCTTGAATTTCTGGCAGCTCCCTATTGATCTACTCAGATCATTGTCTGAATTATCTTCAGGAAAATTTTACTTGCATTATTAGATAATTTTCTCATTCTGTTGGGTCACCTTTCTTTGGAATGGGCACACATATGCATCTCTTCCAGCCAGTTGGCCAGATAGCTGTTCGGTCTAGGTAGACTAGAGAAACAAATTCATAGACACTCATGTGTATAAGAAAGAGCTTTATATACAAGAGCAATTGACTGTTGAGATCAACATCGCAGCCCAGTCCAGATCAAACCCATAAGTCCAAAATCTGCCCATATGTTCAATACTAGTCCAT